GTGTGTGTGTGTGTGTGTGTGTGTGTGTGTGTGTGTGTGTGTGTGTGAGTATGTGTACCTGTGTAACAATACTATTGTGCTGCGACGTTGTTTATTTATTTTGGTTCAACCCCCACAAAAGTCAACCTAAGTTTCAGGATAAGTAAGTTATGCAGATATAATACACCACAACCGGGAATCAACCATACTCTGCCATTCATCACGTTAAATACTATATCCAATGTCGTTCGTTGTAGCTTTCCAAATATTTATCAGTGCGTCTTTTCCGTTCGCTATTCATATAAAAATTTCATACGCAAATTTACTTGGTTCTCAAGTATTAGTTACCGAAAATTCACGCTAAAATGTAATATCCTAACAATCATCAATAGCAGAAAGGTAAATGTTCATTTTCGGATATAATAATGTGAACCATATAAATCATGTTTGTTCATTACTTATCTATCGGTTTCGTTAAGTATTTTAATTGTTCAATAATAATTAAGATAATTAATTTTATTATGATGATGATTCGAGAATAGGGTCGAAATAATTCTAGCTTTTGAATTTATGAAAATCAAGTGTTCTCAATATTTTTCAAACGATTAAAATTAGGGTTCATATTTTTTTACATTATTTTTGAATAGTCAATATGTCCACAATTTATAATTACCATTAGCTATAATTACTCCGATATTACATTTTTGAGATGAAAAAATACGCTGTAATACACTTATTTCATTATTTTCTAGTTAACAATATTGTAACAGGGCAGATTTTGTACAAAAACATATAAGTATGTTTTCTACCCCAAATAACTCTTAGGTCCTTTACAATGTTATTTATTATTCTGAAAGTCTATGCTAATGGAACTTTACGATTACGTATTAAACATGTGATGTTACTTATTATTGTGAACATTCCATCAATAACGTTTAAGGACTGAAAATTGTTTTGCGATAGAAAAAAATAGTAATGTGTGAAATATTTTATACGTTTTCGTCTTAATTATGCATATTTTTGTAGTGAAGTATTATATAATTGTTATTATTTAGTTTTTACACATGATTGTAAATATGTGGGTAAGACGAATGTAGGTAGTAGGAAGTAAAGTTTAAATTATTACTTTGAACTGATTCTACTACGTGATAATATTTGTTTTTGATTTTTTTTTAATTTATATTGTCACAAACAAAAGTGTAAGTTTTCTACTTATTTTCAAGACAAATTTTTGTTATGCATACTTATACGGTTAATTATTAATAATACTCCTATTCGATATTTTATTAATAATTTAATATAATTTAATTTTTTTTTTATGGGGATTATTTCATGTTCAATATAATGTCTCTATTTCTTTTTTTTGTTAATGTATAATTAATAATGTTATCGAACTTAACTAGCCCTAACCTCTAAACTACCCATAAAACATATCAAAAACCTACAAATGTTTACACACTTACTACACAATTTAGCCTATCAGGTAGGGTATATTATCTTATTGGAGGTATATAGTTTAAATTATGTGGTTTAACTGATTATCAAATTGTTTAATAAATAATCAATACAAATCATGTTTTAAAAAATTTGAATTGATATGATGTCGACTAATTAGAATCAAAATAAAATCACTTACCAATAACAGACAAATTGTACCGGAAGCTTTTGGTGGCAGAGTTCCGGAAATCTACACGACATCTATACACGCCTTCATCGTTCCGGTGTACTTCATCCACAAATAGACACGCAGGATCTGTGACTGTCTTAAAAGTCGCACGACTGCCGAAAACGTCGGGTGACGAATAATGGCGTGCTTGGTCCAACGCCATACCTCTTACGTCAAAACTAAAAAAAAAAAAAAAAGTGGCCATATTGTCAATCTATGAAATTCATCGTAAGTCAATCTAATATATAAAATCTAAAAACTATTTTTTTTATCACTATCTTTAACAATAATAAATAATAAGATAGGCAATAACAATACATTCATTCATTTAAATTTAATTTATCTCTTATAAATTCCATTCATTGAAAGACTACGCGATGTAAAAAAATCATTTCCAACCATTAATGTCACCAGTCAAAAACAATTGGGAACGCTAATAATGTTTATATGGACAAGCAATTTTAATGTATTTGGATCTTTATAATATAACTAGAAATTAACGGATCATATTTATTTTATTTTTATATATTTAAGGAAATAATAATTTTTAAAATTCAAAAAAAAATATAACTATTTTAGAGATTTCACACTAACGAGAATACTAAGGTATAAAGAAAAAAAAATTAATTTTAATTGTTTGATAAAAACACGTTTTTGAGAACGAACGTTCTGCGTTAAAACTTTTTAAGATTTAATGTTTGTTGATATTGTTATGAATAAAGTGAACAACGGCAAAATTATACGGAATTATAATTAGTTCATTTAAACTCACCTCAAAATTTATAATGTATTAATAACAGATTTGCCTGGGGAGATGTTTGGAATTTTATAATTTATACTCAATGATAATCAAATAAAATGACAAAGAGCATTGTTACAACATAAATAATTACGCATAAGATTATTTCTTAAAATATACTCATTATTTGTACCAAAAGAGGAATTATTTCGTAAGTCCATTATCTGTACCATGTAATTTAAGTACTTAAATAACATTATAACATGTAAAAACTGTTTTATAGTCATTTCGAGATCATAGGTATGCTGTTTGACTTATTTATATTTGTCACTCATTTGTACACCAATCGACGTGTATTACCTTGCCACTCATATGTAATACGCTATGTACAACCAAAAACTGTATTCAAAACAAACATAACTAAGAAAAAAATCTTCAGAACGAAGATAAATAATATTCCGGAATTTTGTTTAAAAATACATAGAATATAATATTATTTGAATGCGAATTGCTTTATGTGAGTATACTATCATACTCGTGCGCTAGTGAATGAATCCCGCTTACCGCGAAGAATCGTCATTGAACTTGTAGTCAGTTTCCCCAAAAATTACCGGCACAATATGTGATTACAATCGGGTGTATGAGACGTACGGGTAGGTCGAGTGGGATAGGAGGTAGTAGGATCCGTTGAATAAACAGTCGTATAATCCGGCCAATTGGTCATGCCTTTCGGTACGAAATTTAATTAAATACCCTAGCCACTGCTGCTACCATCACCGGTTCAAGTACATCACAAAAGGGTCGGAGGTGGGTCGAAAGGACGACGACGACGAGTTTTTTTTTTCGTACAATCACGGGATGAGGATCGAGGCGATGGGGAGGAAAGAAAAGATTATGAGCTAGAGTAGCGTAGTCGTAAATTTCCGGGCCAATTAACAGATAAACCGAATGGCGTTGGGTTTTGCATGTTAATATTGTTGGCGGGCGTTAATAATTAGCCTAGAGTAGTAGGTCTTTTTGGTGTGCGAAACGACCGGCAGAAGAGCAGTGAGTTAGAGTAACGAGGAAAGGGTTATTTTGGATACAGATTTTTCCACGCTCGTTGCACACGATACCACCACCACCAAAGCTGCTGCTGCAGCTACAGATTATGCTATTGTTCCGCCGCCATGGTCCGAAATATTGGTTTTTAATTTCTCACGAAAAGATCTACTGAGGCCGTCGGTCGGTCGGATGGACGACCGGAACTACCGGCTAAATGTTTTGTCCCTAGGACAAGAGAGATTACTGAAATAGAAAACAGCTCTCCGTCTCGACCATTTTCTCATTATTTAATCGTAAGTTATGATTAATAATAACAATCATTATTATTATTAAAAAACTAAACATTTAATCGGCTACGTATTGTTCATGAATAAATAGTTCACCAATTAAATGCATACATTCACTATCACTATTAGTTTTGAGCACTATAAAAAAATCATTCAAAAATAAATAATTTAGAACAAATAATATAATTTAGTCGTTCAATAAAAATGACTAGAAGGCAATAAATTAAATGAAAAATGACCGGAATAACAATTAGTATATCATGTTAGAGGTAAGCAAAAACTGTAAAAAAAAAAAAGTTAAATTTATCGTATTTCTCATCCACCCAAACCAAAATCTAATGTGACATTTGAAATGTCGCATTAAATCCGAATCAGTTAGCAGTTCACGTAACGAACATTTTTTTTTCTTTCAAAGGATGGAACGTGCGGGCAATACTTGCCATTAACATTCTAGTGAAAATAAAATACATTTTCCAGTGTGTATAATGTGTGAGTATATACATATCTGAATAATAAAATAAATGCCAAACAACACATATATTCATACACAATACCAATATAAATATTCACTCTTTCCCCTTTCAACATCCGAAAAAGAATAATGTATTATGTATATTAATTATTTTCCATACAAATTTTAAAAATTAGGTGGTATATTAGTAATCAAAAAATTGGAGTACTTTACGATAATAAAATTTAAAATAATAAAATATGAAGTTTTTTTTTAACTAATTATGTTTTATAACCATTTATCATAATAGTTTATTTTCAACGCTTATAAGTTATATAACAAGATATATGCTTGTTAAAAATTTAATTTATAAGCGTAATTATAATGAATTACATATAAGGCAACTTTTATAATATTAAACTGTTTATATTTTTCACCCAAGAGTCATTTTAACGTTTCGTTGGGAATATATAATATAAAATAAGAAGTGTAAGTTATTTAACAAAAATGAAATTATGTTTATGGGTTCATGGTATCCATACTACATATCCATGCTACATACTCAGCTAATCCTTTGCAAACGCCAATGATAAAATAATTAATTTCATGGAGTTATTAATAATTTTATAAATAATAATATGTTTTATAGTTAGTTTTAAGAATTTTACAGAACAAAGCTCAATGCTACAGACGATTCAAACCAAAATATATATAATTCTCAACAATCGAATAAAATTCCATTTATATTTCGGTCAACATTAAAGCAAACTATATATAAATATTTTTTAAATGCTGTCAAATAAAAGATATAGTTATTACTTTCTAAAACCACAAAAAATATATATAATATATATAAGGGTTACGAGGAAAAACAATATTAGTCAATATTCCTAAAATGTTCAGTAATGCAATTTTATAGTTTCAAAACTAAAATAAAACTAAGAGATCAAGAACAAAATAATTCAAAAAATATGTTAAGATTGTGATTTTATATATATATATATATATATATAAAAAATATTATTTTTAGAGCACGAAAGTAATAACGTACAGTTATTAACAATAACATATTATACACATTAGTTAATACAAAGTATTAAAATATAATCGATATTCAAATACCGATGCTCAGAAGGGAAAAATAATGTTAATTAAATATTTTAACATAGTAAATAATCTTATTTTAAGGCTATCATCTAATTTAAGATATTTCTCTATAGATTTAGTTGAATGCATATTTTGTGTCTATTATCACAATATTTTACATGGACATATACGTATGGTGTATGCACGTAAATGAAATTGATATCATGTTATTTTGACCCGCCATGAATAGCAAAAATACTGTCAAAGCATAGCAGTAATATGAACGGTAAAACGATATAGTTGCCGAAAAAAAATTAATAATATGGAATTTATTCATGCGTTATGAATAGCACAGTAACGTCGTACAACTCGACAATTGACTTTGCATTTGGAGTTTTCTGCGTACCCAACGTTACAATTAAAGATATGTATAATATGTGAATTAAAACAAATAAATAATAATAATAGTCGGATTCCTTAATACTTTGTTCGCTGAAAGGGCTTTACACGCGAAACTATCATAAATCATGAGATTTGGTATTTTGGTGTGTTCAGAGTATATTAAACACCTCATTGTAGTTTTTCTTTTGTTCTGTTAATCATTGTTAATCACACATTATACACAACTACCCCCACACGAGTATGTATATTATATATATACACGTATACGCATGTGACATGTACATATAGATGTATAAATTATCTATAAAATATTTTCTATACGCGCACGTGATAAATAGAATGTGTATGTGAATTCAGTACCTACTGCATTAAACAGAAGGTATACTTTATCAAACAATTACCGTCTTAATATAATGTTCATAAAAAAAAAAATGTAAATATCTAATTGAAAACTATATGTTAAATACTAAAAAGTACTATATATTTAATGCTACTAAAATCTTCACGTCAAAGTTAAATACATTTTTATTTATTGTCTGACACACACACGTAACATATAATATATATTGAAATCGAATGTTGTACATGATAATTCAAAAATTAAATTAAATGACAATATTTTAGAACTATTTTATGACTAGTAATTTGATAAATATTTCTACTGATAGTATTATGATGACAAAATACAAATTTAAATTAAAAATCGTTGAAATTAACATAATTTCAGTATCAATATTCAATTCGAATATTATAGATACAGCACAAAAAAGCCAATTCGTTTATATTATTATTGTTTAACGTCATAGAAATTAACGACCATCCTTGTGAGGTCCGATTCGTGTACAAGGGCTCAATAATAAATTAAAAACGAACAGTTTTTTAAACTCCATTAAAAAAAAAATTCAATACTTTGAGCCAAATTACAAACGAATAAAAATGATTAAATATAGTAACTCTATAATTATTTTTGAAAGTAATGGATTTTTCACTCTTGGCACAAGAGGAAAACATGTTAAAAATTTGAGAAAAACTGATGACATCAGTAGTTTTTTATACATATATAAAAAATAACATAAAATAAAATAATTATACATTTTTATTTTATGACTTATTAAAACGTCTATTTTTTCTGTATTTAATGAACGCGAATGATCACTATCAACAGATATC